ACTATCTCTGGCTTCCTTCCTCTTGGGGATTTGGATTCAGGGTTTGTTCCTGGGGTCCAAGGCTGGTAGGAAAGGCGCAGAGGCTGATGCTTACCTGCGAGTCTTGCAAGGACAAGTACAGCTTCGTGTTGACAATCTTACAAAGGACACAGATGAAGACGGGAGCCAAAACACAGAAGCTCTGGGCGACGCAGAAGCTCTCAGCGAGCAGGGTAGAATTCAACTCAACCCTGCATCACGCACGGGGTTGCAGACGACGACTCCCCGAGTAGATGGACCCCAGCCACCTAGCCCGATGCCTTCCCAGACTGTCTGCCCAGTGTGCCAGTTACAGTGGTGGCCAGGTACGCAGGGGGTGAGCTGCCCTAGGACATGGCCAGACGTCTACATCACGCAGCCAGGCAGTGAGCTCCCACCTCTGAGGAGCTCTCTACCCTCTCGCAGTCACAACAGCCTATCTCCGAACGAAGCCAAGTCTAGCAGAGAAAATGAATTCTCAGGTGCTTATGAATTCCAGCAACATGGCTCATCTCCAAAGTACTCAAGAGATTTCTCTGGGCCCGCTGCAGCCTCGGCACGCAGCAGTGCAGGAAATAAAGCCCTCGGAAGCTGCCAGCTAAAGACCAGTTGCCAGCATCAGCACAGTTCGTCCAAAGGGTGAATGGACCATGCAACTATCCGTCTCCACAACCCCGAGACCAGAAGAACTAGATGGTGCCTGGCTGCCACTACCAACTGCTCTGAAAGGGATCACAGCAGAAGGTCTTGCACAGGGTGGGAGGAAAATGGGGAACACAACCCAGAGTTATTTTGAAAAGACCAGGCCTACTGGTAGGATAGACGGGTGGGAACCCTCAGGGCAGCGCCCTCCGTCACCTCTCAGGTCTGGAAATGAACTCACCCCCATGGCTCCATGCCAGGTCCCTCTGGGGAGCAAGAGCCCGAGAGAGGGGCCCCGACCTCAGGATCACCAGCCGTTTGAAACCCAAAGGGCAGCACTGACCCCCAGACGAGGTTCAGAAGGGCCAGGAAAGCAGGAGGGATGGAAACAGGGAACAGGCGGGAGGAAGTGGGTTCAGTGAGGTTACAGTGTGGGGATTGACATCGGTGACAGGAATCCCAGTGCATGTGTGCGTGCGTGAGAGAGTGAGTTTGGGAAAGTGATCTATCTACCCCACCCAATTCCCATTCCAAACTCAAACCAAGCTAATTCACAACACAGAGTGAGAAACAGAACAAAGGGGAAAGTCCACGTTGTCATGAAGACAGTGCTGACTCCCGATGACCTCAGATGAGTCTCAGAATAAAACTCTGCTCCCTGGGGTTCCCGGCGGTTGATTTCTCAGAACTAGCTCACCAGGCCTTTCTTCTGAGCCAGCCCAGAGTGGGCTGCCGCCCCCACGCTTGGTTCATAAGGCCTGGGGATACCTCCCTTCCTCCCCAGACACCACAAAACCAGAATAACCTTACCCACTGCCCTCTGGTCCTGGTGGTATAGTGGTTACAGGTTGGACTGCTAATTGCAGGGTCAGCGGTTCAAGACCACCAGCTGGAGGAAGAACTCCAGCTGTAAAGAATTATAGGCTTAGAAATCCACAGGGGTGGGGGTTCTGCCTGTCCCTGTGGGGTTGCTCTGAGTTGGATTCGAGTGGACGTAGTGGGTTGTTTTCTTTTCTTTTCTGATTGCTATCAAGTCCACTCTGATGCATCACAACCCTACAGAGTAAGGGGACTAGCACCACAGGGTTTCCCTGTGCGGCTTGCTACATCTTTCTCCTGGGGAGTAGCTGGTGGGTTCTAGTCGCAGACCTTCTGGTGAGCAGCCACGGGTGCTAATAACCACGGTGCCACCAGGCCGAAGAGAGATGCAGTGTTCTGTGCCTGTCAAGAGTCGCGGTCCTGGGAACTCACCGGGGCTGCTCGAAACTGTCTTACTGGATCTCTGTGAGTCGGCAGGCACCCTCTCACAGTTGGCACTTTGGTTTTGGCTTGGTGCCTCCAGGGCTCCTTCCCAGGCTTCACAGAGTTGCTGAATGCTTCCATGTCCCACGGGACAGGTGATGCCCACCTTTTTGATTGCCATGAAACAGAGATGGCGACAGGGATCAATCAGAGCGTGTGTGTGTGTGTGGGGAGGAGGCTTTCTGCTCCCCTAAAGATTTACACCG